TAAGAATAACTTGATCTCATTTTTTAAAATTGGTTAACCTCCCTAATAGATAGAGTGAATGCTGTAGACATAGTATATCTTGATTTCAGCAACAGTTTTGGCAAAGTGCCCATAATATTCTGATTAGCAAGCTAACTAGGTGTGGGCTGCATGGAACAACTGTCAAGTGGATGCAGAGTTGGCTACAAAATCATACTGAGAGGGTGTTGATTCATTACATTGGGAGGGTTCCTTCTCAAATTGGGAGGAGATAACAAGCGGGTACCCCAGGACTCTTGAGCATTTTTTAAATTAATGAACTGAATCGGGTGCAGGGAATGCTAATCAAATTTGCAAATGACACAAAATTGGATGGAATAGCTAATACCCTGGAAGACAGAAACAAAATTCAAAATGATCTTGGTAGGCTGAACCCTGAATTGAAAACAACAGAATTAAATTCAACAGGGATAAATGCAAAGTATGGCACTTAGGAAAAAGAGAGCAAACACACAGTTATAAGATGTGAGATACCTGGCTCAGCAATATTACAAGTGAAAAAGATCTTAGAGTTGATGTAGATCACAAGCTGAATATGAGCCAACAGTGTGATGCAGCTACAAAAAAGACAAATGCTATTTTAGGCTGCATTAACAGAGGCACTGTCTCCAAATTCTGTGAGGTACCAGTTTCTCTCTATTTGGCGCTGGTTAAGCATCATCTTGATACCACACTTCGAAAAGGATGCTGACAAATTGGAACAAGTTAAGTGGAGGGGAACAATGATGATTGGGGGAAGGAAAGACTAAAAGAACTGGGCATGTTTAGCCTTGAGAAAAAAAGACTGAGGGGAGATATGATAGCACTCTTCAAACACTTAAAAGATTGTCATACAGAGGAGGGGCAGGATCTGTTCTCGATCATCCCAGAGTGCAGGACACGCGACAATGTGCTCAAGTTACAGGAAGTTGGATTTTGGCTGAATATCAGAAAAAACTTCCCTAACTGTTAGAGCAGTATGGCACTGGAACCAGTTACCTGAAGAGGTGGTGAGTGCTCCAACACTGGAGGCATTCATTCCAACTTCATGAATCTATGATTTGGCCCTTATCAAAGTCACTCAGATCTTTTCACATTTCCATATTTCCTGCTTCGAAGCCACAACATTCAAGAACTGATGGTTCACTCGCTGCCTAATATATCCTACCCCTTGACAG